CAAATAGCCGGACCTTCGGGGGAACTGTGGCAACCGTCACATCCACGGGGTCCGAGGGCTACGGTCGCCATGGTAGGTCCGAGCAACGGAACCTCAGCTGGGGTGCCTTCCTCCGTGGACAAGCTGTATAGGTCGGGATCATGTCTCGGGCCACGACAGAGAGTAGCATCAAAGGCAATTATGCCCTCACACTTCTTAAGTACCTGGGCCCAGCCTTCCTCCGGGGTGTGCTTGAAAAGCTTCCCTGATGCGCTATACCACTCGTTTTGCTGTTCTACTGACGTGGATCCGGAGGCTCCGTCTCCCTGATCAGAGTCAGATGCAGTCTGACTGTGTATCCGCGAAGTTCCCACACGAGTTTCCCACCAGTCTCGGTATCGGGGACGTGGCACTGCCCGAGGGCCCGTGTGCATGGGAGAGAAATGATAGATACCCTTCACTCGCGGCGTACCCGGAGGGCGTGTAGGCCGAACGGCATGCTGAATGACCTGCATGAGCTTGCGTTCGTTGAGATGGCGACATTCACGAATAGACAGGATATTGACATTAAAGCGATCCGTCAAAATGATGTCGGCCACCAGATCAGCCGGCACTGATACCCCATCCAAAATGAGAGTGCGTACATCTTGTAGTATATCTCTACGCTCGAGGCTCGTAAAAATACGGTTCAATGGGGCGGAATAAACCTCGTCCTCTGTCTGGGAACCATTCTCCGCTTGTGTTACTGTAGAGAGCTCTGTACCCCGACAGCGGGACAAATCAAGATGCCGGAATACATATGGCGTCTGGGTAATCACGGTGTGTAGGCGGCGTGAAGTTGAGCTCAATGTCATCAACGAGGATGCTGATAGATATGGTGCCATCTGGTCGAGGATCAAGCTATTGCTTAGGACATCCTCTAGTCCAATTTGAGGGGGTGCGGGCGCTAGAGATTGTACATTTGATACCACCCGTTCGGTGGCCAGTTCACGTACGACAGGCTCCAGGCCGAGTTCCTTCAGAGTCAAGCGGCGAGATCCATAAAAATCGGGGGCGCGGCTAATGAGGTCCCGTCTATAGGCATTCATGACGCCTACCGCGATGTCCTCTCGGAATCCAAAGGGCGAGGCATTGGGTTGGATATCCCGGAGGGCAGCGCGGGCTTTGACCAGCTCGCTTTCCAAGAGATTGATAGTTGATTGTAAGACGGCAGGCATGGCTTCAGTTCTCTTAGGATCAATGGCCAAAGCTATAGAAGACCACAGGTCGGACATAGTCCGGTAGATTTATATCAGGCAATGGAAATCAAGGTTAAAGTTGGAAAGTATAGAAAAGAAAGGTGGGGAGAGAGAGGGGGGAGGGGAAAAAGAAATAGTTTAAATGAAGGGATCTGGATGAATGTACGAAGTACGAAGTACTAATCTAATAATTAGATTGTCTGATCATTTTCCCCGAGTCAGATTTGGAAAAAAAAAAAAAAAGGGAAAAAATGGAATATTAAAAAAAAGAAAAGAAAAGCGAAGTACACATATAGTACAGCCCGGGGCCATACATAAGGTATAGAACCAATGGAGCTGTGGAGTTGCGGAGACACATAGAAGATTGCCATTTTTGGAAGATGATATAAGATGATATAAGATTAGTTATATAATATAACTCGATTAAGTAAAGAGAGATTGGAGGTTCTAAGATTTTAACCCAACCCATAAATGGACTGTCGGTCAACGGAGATTCACCCTATAAAGATCCATGTACGGAGTACTCCGTATTATGTATATCTCTATATCTCTATATCTCTATATCTCTATATCTCTATATCTCTATATTTATATACTTGTAAAGAATTACAATCTCTTCAATTCCATATACGCATCATGATTCTCCAACTCTAAACTTCTACAGTTTGGCCAAGGGAGAAGGGAGAAGGACAAGGTACCTTGAAATACTTAAAGTGGAAGTGCCGGATACTTCCCCAAAGTATGGGGTGACTAAGTGGATCCGGTATCCATCTAGGACAAGGGGGTACCTAGGTAGGTATCCCGGCAGTCCAAAGTACATTTGGCGTTAAGAGTCCAGGACGTTGGGAAATGATCCACACAGGTCACGCGCAAATCTGCATCAGTCCAAGCCGGCAAGGGGGGAAATGCGTTCGGTTTAATAGTGTCTATATTACCCGATGTGTACATAGTAGTATACTCCGTACTAGTGCTACTACACGTTCACACCTAGCCAACTCTTGATTTTTAACGTATGTGGGAATAGTATACGGAATACAAAGAGCATATGCACAAAGTATACAACATACCGCTGTATACTAATACATTTCTCAGAGACACTGGGGGTTTTCCAAGATTAATCTGCCAAGACAATAGTCAGAGATCCCTGGAATTCCGCGCCAAGGCCGATTGAGACATCTCTGATCTACACGGTCCGCATCATCATGCCAAGCCTTCACTCGAAGAGCTATGTACCGTATACTATTCCGTAGAACAGTGTTGTTTCGAGATAAGCTGAAGCTGCCAAGCCCTGTAATGCGGTTTCTCCTTTTCCTTCGCCCGAGGGAGAAAAAGAAAAAAAAAGCAATCATGGTACTCCGTACTCTGATCTAGTTTTTGGGTCTTGTACATCAGACCAATCCTACATTCAGTACGAGACAGATGGCTGATCTACTACATGTATATGGACGGAGAGTATTTACCGAGGCCAAGCAGGCAGTCGTCTCCCCTCCCTGCCCCCCAGAGGTTGCCAAGGAATAGTTACACCTCTACGGAGTACACATCATCAGAAATTAGTCCGATCCAGACACGTCGCACAATTATGTATTCACTTGGGGGTGAGAATTATCAGGGTAGGATTAGAACTAGTGATACAATGTCGTGTCGATCGTTTCCCCCCCAAAGGATTCACGCCCCTTTCGAGAGGCCTCTACTTCCACAGCTTCGACACGGCCACCTCCTTGTCATCGTGCTTGTTGAGAATCTTGGCGGTGGCCAGATCAAAGTCTTCTTGTGTGACATGAACCCGACGCTCGCGGAGAGCATACATGCCTGCCTCTGTGCAGACGCCCTTGAGCTCGGCTCCAGAGCACCCGTTCATCTTCTCGGCAATCTTGGTCAAGTTGATTCCACGGGTCAGGTTCATCGATCGAGAGTGAATCCGCAAGATATCGGCACGAGCTTCGACCCTACAAAGGACAAGTAAAGTTAGCATCGTACCCAAGAGACAAGGAATAAGTCCTAAAATATCTGGGAGCGGAGAGGGGTGAACTAACGATGGAGGGGGGAATTCGATCTTTCGATCAATTCGCCCTGGCCGAAGGAGGGCCGGATCCAGAATATCCAGTCGGTTTGTCGCCATGATAATCTTAATGTTCTTCGTTGGCTCGAAACCGTCCAACTGGTTCAACAACTCCAGCATGGTACGTTGCACCTCCGAGTCACCACCTCCTGATGAATCTATCCGGCTTGATCCAATACTGTCAATCTCATCCATGAAGATGATACTGGGTGCGTGCTCTCGTGCCATGACGAAAAGCTCACGCACCATCCGACTACCCTCGCCGATATATTTCTGTACCAGCTCTGAACCACTCACTCGGATGAATCGACAGTCGGTATGGTGAGCCGCTGCTCGAGCAAGCAAGGTCTTGCCGGTTCCGGGTGGGCCGTAAAGCAAGACACCCTTCGGCTGTGCGATGCCCAAAGATTCGAACAGCTCCGGGTGCTTGAGGCCAAGCTCAATCACTTCTTTGATTTCCTTGATTTGCTGGTCTAGGCCACCAATCATGTCGTAAGTGCTGTCTGGAACCTTCTCGACCATCATGAGTGCAACCAGAGGATCGACCGAGGATGGCAACATCTTCTCTAGCTTGTAGGAGTCAGATAGGAGAGCAACTCGCTTACCCACAACGAGTTTGCTAATGTCCACACCGTCGGAGATATCCACCACTGCGATCAAGGAAACCGTAGCGTTAGCATAAGCCCGGTCATCAAAAACCAAGATTGAAATGAACGAAGCCTACCGTATTTGCCTTCTGGGTGTACCTTCACTAGGACCTTCTTGGTGCTCATCACCTTCACTACCTCACCAACGTAGGAGCCAGGTTGTTGCAACAAGCCAAGCTCTTCGCGCAGTAGACGGACTCTCGAGTTGTAGTCATTGCGCTGCGCTTCTAATCGTCGTAGAACGGCCTGACCTTGAATAATCTCGAGCTTCATGCCCTCGATTTTATTGCGATAGTAGTTGTCCAGAGCCATGATGGCGAATAAGGCGATGACGCTATGGAGACTCAAAGGCTGTCTGTCTTCCACAGAACAGGTGGAGTAAAGAGAAAAGACCTTTGTCTTTCTACTCAGAAGATGATATATCGGGAATTTTTCAGAGGAGAGGATGTAGCTCAGGAGCAGAAATGGAGGAGTTGAAGCTGGGATTTTGGCAAGCAGAGCAGTCCAGTTGTACGTGAAGCTCAGGTCCGGTGCCCGTCCAATTGTGCTGACTAAGAGCCACAAATTTGGGCCTGAAATATCAGGATAAATAGGCAAGCCAAACAAGCCAAACATCATTTGTTCCCACCTGGATGAGACAGACCTCTAGAGCTCCCCACCCAATGAGTCAGCTGCAGATCTGATTGGGCGGGTCAAGCTGGGCTGATGATCGGGTCATCTGCAACGCGAGAAAGTACGGACAGAAGGCAACGTCAAAGAGCCATTTCTCCCCTTTGACTTAATCTTTTCCACGAGTTTCGTCCTACCTGGACCTGAAATGATCTATATGCATCTCAACTAATGGAACTTTGATTGACATTTTCGATTGTTGCGTTTCACCTAGATCTATTTGGTTTAATAATGTCACTGCGAAGTCTGGTTTTATTATCGCTTTGACTTTCTTTTCTCTCTTTCTTTGTGGATAACAAAAAGACGGCATAAAAGAGAGGGGACAGCCCCCCGTGTCTTTGAGATTTTCTCTCTTCCTTGCTTTTTCTGTTTCCAAGGCTCACAGTGTCCTTGTCAAATCACACTGTCATGGCTGGTGATAAAGGAAATCCTGACTCTTCTGAGTCCACGCAGCCATCTGCAGCGTCAGGAAGGGAAACCCCGACCTCTGGACCAGCGCCTCCAATCAGACCATCCGCTTCCGCGGGGAGAACATACGGTAAGCTTGCCTTGGGTGTAACCTATGACAAAGACGGTTTGGGCTGATCCAAAATTCCAGGTACACTTGATACATCTCCCCTTGAGGCGACCAATCCCGAAATACGCGATGACGGCCAAGAGGAGAGCTCGACTCGCGCATTTACAACACAATCGTCCACTGTCCCTGATAAGCCCCGAAAGCCCTCGGTATCGCGTCGCATGTCTTCCAAGCGTCCAATCCCCCACAAGGGGCAAGGTTTCTCGACAGACGATGATGCCAATGAGGTCAAAGAATTCATGACAATGAAACAAGGCGTGAACACGCAACAATCTCCCAGGATTCGTCCACTACGAACGCAGAGCTCGACCTTGAGACGACGTCCCAGTGCTCGTCCCAGTCCTTTGGCGAGAGCCGATTCAGAGGGCTACAACGCAGACGAAATAGACTTGCCGGAACAGGATCTGGATTTTGAAGAAGACTTCCCCTCTTTGACACAGGCGGGACATAGCAGCGGCGGGGAGAGTGAGGGCGACGGGGAGGGTGGCATGGAAGACGATGAAGACGCAGCCAGTGATGCCGAGAGTTTCACACTCAAAGACCGTCAACAGGCCATCAACCAAACACATCCATTTGGTATCAGAATCTGGAAGCCTGCGCTGTACAAGAAGAGCCGTTCTGTGGAGAAAACGGCCGAGGGTGATATTCACTCATCTCCGGGAGGTCATGTCAGCCCCATGCTTTATTTGACCAACTTGCTATGGTCTTTGTTCTTTGGATGGTGGCTTGCCTTCTTCGCTCTGTTGGCCGCAGTTGCATGCTTTTTCTTTGCCTACTCATCGAGCGCTGTAGCCTATGGAAGAGTATTTTCAGGTCTTTCGCGATATTTGTTGTACCCATTCGGATCATATGTTCTCCTAGAGACTGATGAGAATTATGCCGAAGAAGATGAGGGCGAGGGACGCAGTATCAGCGAATATGAGCAATGGCAGAATGGCGACTTGGAACATGGTCGTCTTTTCTTCGGGCCTCGCAGAGATCGGTCTCTGGTTGGTAGACGAAGGAACAGCATCGATTCAGCCGGCGAGCAAGACAGCCTGCTTGGACGGCCCCAGCGTGGACAACGCGAAGACTCTTCTCAGCTCGCTCAATCGAAGCGTCGCCTTTTTGGGCGGGGCGAATGGACCTTAGGTCGTGTCGTGTTCTTCGTATTCTTCTACTTCTTAGTTGGCCCGCTGATGCTTATGGTATCTCTTGTCTGCTGGCTTTTGGTGTTCTGGATCCCCATGGGTCGTATAACGATTACACTGGTGAGCCATTTACGCAGACACCCTCTAGCACTGTCCTTCCATTCCGATTCCACATATGCTAGATCGAGCACAACCACGTCTTCCTCTTCCATCCTTCTTTGCACCTACCGAGCTGCGGGAACGAGGTACTGGAAGTACACAGTCGATGGAACGAATATCTTCCTGATCAACCTTCTTGGTGTGGTTGTGTTTGTGATTTTTGACTATCATGTTTTGGGCAAATTCTTGAGTTTGCAGAACTGGCTCACACATCCAGCCTTGGTCTTCCCTCTCGCTTTGCTCTCCATCATTCCCCTGGCCTATTTTATAGGGCAAGCCGTTGCCTCGATCTCCGCTCAATCTTCTATGGGCCTGGGTGCCGCAATCAATGCCTTCTTCTCAACTATCGTAGAAGTGTACCTTTACTGTGTCGCTTTAACTGAAGGCAAGGCTCAGCTTGTCGAGGGAAGCATCATCGGCAGTATCTTTGTCGGTATTCTGTTTCTCCCCGGTTTATCCATGTGCTTCGGTGCACTCAAACGCAAAACTCAACGGTTCAATGTGAAATCAGCCGGTGTGACCTCAACGATGTTGTTATTTGCGGTTATTGCTGCTTTTGGTCCCACTCTCTTCTATCAGGTTTATGGCAGTGTAAGTTTTACTTTCCTTCGCAAAAGAATATAAACTGACTAGTGCATAGCATGAGCTGAACTGCCACTCGTGTGTCAGTTCCCTCGATCCGGAGACTCGAGATTGCCGACGCTGTTATTTCTCACAAACAGCGGCTGTCGATGATCAGTTCTTTCAAAAGGCGGTGCAGCCATACGCATGGATCGCCGCTGTTTTCTTGTTTCTTGCATACGGTATCGGCCTATGGTTTACTCTCAGGACCCATGCTGCTCTCATCTGGTCTTCGGAGATGGAAGAAAAGAAGAGTGTCCAGATCCATGCCACCCAATCAGCCCAAGACTCATTCTACGAACCACGGCACGCGCTGTTCCCAAATGGCCAACCCGAAGCCTCCGGCGCCGCTTCTGGATCCAAAGATTCGATCCGCGAATCTCAGCTGTATAAGCGAATTTTCAGTCAGTCGTTGAGGCATATTGGTTTGGAAGACAATGGCTCGGGAAATTGGGAAAGCGTTGGAAATGAGGCTACTGCAGACTTTAGAGGCAATATCCCACACTTAGTACCCCCCAATTCTACCGGGGACGGCTGTCCTGTGCCAAACCCTATCCGTGGTATGTCCAAAGAAGACAGTGATCGTTTAGTACGTCAGTTCACGGAAGTGGCAGCAACAGCAGCAACAGTAGCTGCTCGGGATGCGACGCGAAGTCGCAAGCCCAATGTCCAACACCACCAAGCTTCTGTTCGTCAACCCAGCCGCTCTGCTCTAGAGCGATCACGAAATACTGCTGGAGAGGAGCTTGAAGACCTCGGGTTGAGTGCGGAGCCTACTCATGCTAGCGGAGGACACGATGCACCCAATTGGAGCAAAGGCAAAAGCTCTGTCGTTCTTCTTGGAGCAACACTCCTCTATGCAGTTATTGCTGAGATTCTTGTCAACACAGTTGATGTTGTGCTAGAGAGCGTGGATATTGATGAAAAATTCCTTGGAATTACTCTTTTCGCTTTAGTGCCAAACACGACGGAGTTCCTGGTACGTTGGTTATTAAAGGCTCCATCAGATGCCGTTTTGCATTTTATATTATCAACTAACACACCTGACAGAACGCCATCTCATTTGCCATGAACGGCAACATTGCATTGTCTATGGAAATTGGATCTGCCTATGCACTGCAGGTCTGTCTATTACAGGTTCCTGCTGTAGTGTTCTTCAGCGCTTTCTATGGCCGCTCGCTGGACCCATCTGAGCTTGTCAGCCACTCGTTCAAGTGAGATCCCTTGTTTATTTTATTTGTTATTTTGTCTTCAGTCAAAGTACTATGGCTAACAAAATATTTCAAATAGTCTGATATTCCCCCAGTGGGATATGATTACCGTCATCCTGTGCGTATTCCTTCTCTCGTATGTATACGGTGAAGGAAAGAGCAACTATTTCAAGGGATCCATCCTTGTACTTACCTACCTCGTCGTCTTGCTTGGCTTCTACATGTCAGGCTATGTGAACATGGACAACATGGGCGTGGATCGATTTGATACCCTGGCCATCGGCACCAGTAGTTCCGACAAGTTCTACACTATCGGTAGAACAAGAGGCGGGGTGGCGTACTAGACAAAGTGCACATATTGACTGGTGATAGTGACTTTTTTAGCACAAGGCATTCATCGACTTGTCTTGAGTTAATATTGCATAGCGAGCTTGACTTATTTTTCGGATCTTTGTCTACATGCTTTACGTTTATATGGACAGTGTGACTTATCTTCTTGGCTTTCCTAATGACTTGAGCTCTATAGCTCAATGCATTGGACATAATTTTGCAATAATTATCATCTCAAAATCGTCTTCTGAACTTCAAATCAAAGTATACCGGAAGAATATAACCAACATTCCAGTAACTATCCATGTCCTTTTTTTGGTAATTGAAGAAACAAAAGGGGTGATTATCATGTCAAATTAGGTGGACTTCCAGGCCCCCACGGCGTCATCCACCATCCCACGGTATTTCTGTTGCTTGAAGCACTGTTCTAGAAAGACCTCATACTTAACCCCAAGCAAGGCTTTCTCATTTTTATCCTCTGTCGGCAGCACCTTCTTGCAACGCTTGCTCATCCGATTCATGATATCCCACAGGTCATTAGTTTTGCCCTGGGAATCAGCGCTGGCAGCCTTGGCGCCGAGCATAGCAGCGCCGTGGCATACCGCAGCATGAATGTACTCGGGAATCAGCACAGGCATGCCACAGGCAGATGCAATGAGGTTGACCAGGATGTCGTTCTGACATTGTGAGCCCGACATAAACACAGAGGTGATGCGGTGACCTGCTTTATTCATTGTCTCTACAATCTGCTTAGTTTGCAGCGCAATGAACTCCATAGTGGCATAGTAGTAAATGGCAAGTCCATCCACGGATTTGTCACTGGTTAGTCCAAAGATAGACCCAGTCATGTTGGGATCGGCAATGGGAGAGCGGTTGCCCCAAAGATCACCATAGAAGAAAAAATGCCGTCCGAGATAGGATACACAAGGGGCTCCTTGACCCTGTGCCATCTCTTTGAGGTGTTCGTTCAGATATTCGTAGACATTGGCATGTGATGACTCGGCAATCGAAATTGCCTGGTTGAATGCTGGATGGGTCTCAATTACATGCTTAAGTAATTCCCCTGTGGCAGATTGGCCGCCCTCGGCCATCCAGTATCCGGGGAGGATGGTATCCCGATATGGTCCCCAGACACCATCAACAAAAACCGGGTCTGGTGACATAGCAAGATGACATGTTGAAGTTCCCGCGACAGCTGCAAGACGAGAGAACGCCTCTGATTTATCAAGTTTGGGGACATCTGCGCTAGTTTGACCTGGGTCCATATCGACCTTGGATCCGACGGTACCGATCCAGCCAGCATACGCGTCGATCACACTACTGCCAATGGCAATACCAGCCGGCAGGCCTAGTTCGGCTGCAGCCTTATCGCAGAGAGTGCCAACCAATTCACCCGCACTCAAATAATCACCATTCTGTATAGCACCAAAGGTTAGTAAACTGCATCATTTTCAATTAGGGGAAGGCTCACCACCCCGTCGACTCCGCCCATACGCTTGAAGTTATCTTCGGTCAAATCACCGAGGCCAATGTCCTGCAAGAAATCTTCTGCCCATCCCTTGACGCTCCCGTCGACACCAACAGGTACGTATCCTTGCTTGCAGACCACGCTGCAGAAGCTTCGCTTCTCATTGCCCGTAGCAATGTGCGTAAGCGCATCTCCCAGATCATAGAACTTGCATTTATCAAAGAGCTCCTTTGGCATGTGGTTTTTGAGCCAAAGAACCTTGGGGATCTCCATCTCAATGGACATCTTTCCGCCGACATAGCGGAGCAGGTTGTGATTGGTAGCATTGATCTTCGCAGCTTCCTCAACTGGACGGTGATCCAGCCACAAGATCACGTTGCGGTCCGAATCAAAGTTTGGGCCCGTTACAGAGATCGGCTCGTCGGTATCATTGGAGAAAACTGACAAGGAGCAGGTGGCATCAAACCCGATACCCCGGATTGTGTCAGGGTTGACATTGTGCTGGTTAATAACGCGCTGAACTGCAACACAAATGCAACGCCAGATATCGGAGGTAGATTGTTCCTAAAGGCTAGGTAAGACTGATTTGACACCCAATTTGCTTGCAGTTTCACCTACATAATAACCATGCTCTGGTTGCCAAAGACCAATATTCTCTGAGGCCAACCCCACAATATCACCTTTGTCGTCGATGATACAGGCACGGGCACTGCCAGTTCCGACATCAATACCAATATAGTGGTCAAGATGAACTGCCAGATCCTCCCGAGGATCACTGGATGCTTTCCGGGGGCTCAGATGGGATGCACAACGGTAGGGCAGTGAGGCCATGTTGCCGTGGGGAACTCTTTACTTTCGAATTGACAGCTATGAATTGGTAACCATAGATTAGTCACAAAACAGCCCCGGAGAGAATATAGGCTGATTTGAAGCAGACCTACTGTCAATAGCTGAGGTTGAGATTATTAAATCAAGTGAATTGAAGAACTGTGCGATGAAGAGAATCACCTTGGAAGGTAGTACATATATGTATGACATTAAATTTGCCCCAGCCCTGACGGAGCAGTGCTAGCCGATGTGCCTCCGGGGCACTTTTTAGGTACTCCATCGATACTTGGATGTCTCGCCATTTCAGTGCGGTAATTCAGTGTACTTTCTATGTACCATACAGGTGTAAACAATGTATAATATATAAATGATGTAGATCTGTTTTTATATGTTTTATATGTATAAATCGAATTGATCTGTTTAATTTTGAATAATCTAAATATTGTAAGTAATCAAAAGTATATGTAAATAACATGTAAGGTATTCATCTGTACATCATCCGCGGGTGTATGCCCATACAGAGAGTACTATGTAATCGTGGGGTTGGAGCTCGGGCCGACTTTCTTCTCAACACACGTTGACCTCTCTTTGATATAATTCTCACCACCATGCGGCTCCTACCAACCGTTCTTAGCGCTGTGTCGCTCCTAATCTCTGTCACCAATGCCTCTCTCTCGACCGAAATCCTGTATTGGCCCTTGGAATCGCCACAACCGTCCGTCCTCGCGCACGTTTCCTATGACCCAGTCTCATTGAAATCAGACATAGTCTCATATCAACCCCCGAAGGGTGACCAGAGCGACCGTCTGGTGCGTGTTGGTCTCTATACTTCAACCCCCACAAACAAAAAGCAATGGGTCGGCAGTCTCGTGTCGTTGTCCTCTTTGACAGCCAGTGAGCAACCAACACTTCGCCTTCACCTAGGCCCAGCCAACGAAGTCTACACTGTCTCCCTGTCTGCATCGTCTACCAGCACCCAGGTCTCGACATATAACCCTCGAATTGACCTCATCTCGAATGAATCCGGGACACAGCCTCACCTGAACAGGCCAGTGGTTGTCGGGCCCGATGGTCAAAACCCAGAGCAACCCGAAGAAAAGACTATTTTGCAAAAGTAGGTTGCGTATAGAATCTCTCATCTCTTTCATATGCTAATTTATAATCTAGATACTGGTGGGTTCTTTTGATCATTACTTTCATCAGTATGTCCGGGGGAGGTGGCGGAGAGTAGTTGTGATTTTCGGACTTTTCATCATATTATCTATATCGAAATAATACTTGGGTGGAACTCTGCTTTGTGATGCATTGTACTTGTACTCTCTTGGGAAGGCTTGCATTTGCGGGGACGCATATATCCAACTAGAAGTTCAAGACATGGAACTATCCGGTTAACGAAGGAGAGTCTACTTTACACTACTTTCGGCTCAGATAAACTAAGCCTGAAATTTGGGGTGTATATATTTTTATGCGATCCGTAATTGGCTATCTGTAGCTACATATACACATGGCTGTGTGTGTGTGTGTGTGTGTGGTATATATATAAATATAGCGACAAGGCGGAGAGCAGAACATCTTTCACAAGTATGAAACAACTTCATATAACGACAAACACGAAGTTAAAATGTTGATACCTTAAATATTCAACCTTGCTGTCTCTCCTATCTTTCTCTACGTAACCTCTCCCTTTCTGCCTGGTCCATCACAAAACCAGCGCTGTTACCTAGACCCCCCACGAGGCAACAAAAAGTCTGTGCACCGGGGCTTCTTCGCAAAAGTTCTATAAATCTATGCTAAACCTCCCCCCACCCCCATATTACGTCGCAGATTGTCACGCAAAGATGCTACTTCAACTTCCCACGGAACTGATACAGCTAATTCTTCGGAACTGCGACACACCAGCCTACTTCCAAGCAGCCTTTTCAAGCCGCAGGCTTTATGAGATTGCTTCCGGCAGCCGAGAAGTCATCATTCATCAGCTACATAATACTCCTGGCCGGAATCGTGGCATTGAAGCTCACCAAACCAGGCATCTGTTTAGTGAGTTAATGAGACGGTCTTATCAACAGCTAGATGGCGCAGAACATTACGCCAGCCCCGCCTACGAGTATCAAAATCGTGTGATTGACTACCATGCATCAACAATCGAGACGTCAGAAGACGGCATTCGAGCTCTGCTTGTCTTCAAAGGCCACAGTACTGTCCACTTGATAGATACGAACGACGGGGATCGAACTGAAATCCAATTGAAATCCCCAGGACAAGATATCGGGGAGATCGAGATCATTCAGACTGCCTTTGATGGAAACGGCAGAGTTTATGTGTTGCACCGATTCAAACCATTTTTAGACCAAGAGCTGGATACAGATCACCCATTTGTTAAACATGCACTAGAGTCTCACCCCAACGGGAGTATTCACCTGGCCTGCCATCTCTTAAATCCCCGGGGAAAGATGATTCGAATGTGTGACTTTCCCGAATGCCGAGATTATAGGCCGCTGGCTTTGTCAGTTGCCAACGGCAAGTTTGCAATATCATGGCAAAACATGCTCGACCCTTTTGATCATGATGTCGTTCTTTATACCCAGCTCTACGACAATAATGATGAAGAAGAAGATGATATTGATGATGAAACGGAAGACGAAGATGAAGATGATTCGAGCGAAGGCGCCGTGGAAGTAGGCAAGGGAGCCAATCCCTGTAAAATCATTCGTTCGTTTTGTCATTCTGTTATATGGAGCTGGTTCTTAACATCTCTAGATGCTGCTTTTGAGGCTTACGTTTTGACAAGCTCCACCGATCAAGATGCGTCTGTTCGTCCTTCTCGGAGAACAGGCCCCGTAATGAGGTTGGCTTTCAATGATCGAGGCTTTCAGTTGCTCTACCACTACCGAGCTCAAAACATTTACGGTGCCTTTCAGAGACTTCATCGCATCCCTGATCTCTCCCCCAGGCGAGCCAAAGCCGCACGTCAATGAGAATGCATGCACCGTGCAATTTTCGCCTTCCCTTTCGCTTCAGTTCTCGATTGGGATACCATTCTTTGGTACCCACGACCTCGGCGATATAAACCAGGGAGAACAGTGTCATTGGCAGTACCTCGCCTTCGGAATTGCCACCCACCGCGTTGAAAAATGGACTGTGGCATGTCTCCTGAAGTCTGAAGCATATACTGGCCCTCGATGTACCCATGTTTTGAACCTCGACCGCGGAAGGCGTTTCGACCACTGGCGGATTATGGCGCAGCTTGGGGGATTCCGGGAAGTAACAACTTCGCATGGATCTCCGATGGCGACTTCGCGTCGTGGAACCCGTGTTGCTGTCGCTAACTGGAAAACCCTCTATGTCTGGGCACTGAATCCCTTGGAATTGATCAAAGAGGATACCCCCGGCTTTTATCCGTCATCGTGGGAATCCCCTATAGGTGCCATTGAGTTGCGACCGGTTGTCCTCCGGCTAGAGGCGGTTTGCTCTCAATTGCGTTTCACTGAAAAGGAAGACGAGCTGGTTGCGATTACTGATCGTGGAATGATGTTCCTGGATCTCGGTTACCGTGCGAAAGGCAAGCAGGTTTTCAAGAGCCAGGGGGATGATAATAGTATATGAAAATGATGACAGGGAGCTTAGATCTGGAGCTTTACTAAACCCCCGTCGCCCAGAGTGTGGTGAAAGTCTTTTGAGGCTGGCCGCTGAATACTAAAGACGCATATGTACCTATGAACCTTCTCCAAGGCAGTGGATTGTAACTGAAGAGCAACTCTTGAATTTCATCAGACTAGGACGCTACCATTGTTGTATGCAAAACTAGGCAGTAAGAAACCCGCAAGAAAAGTATCTCTTATGCCCATTTTCCATATCCCCAAAGCAACCCGGAACACCAGAAAATGCAGAAGCACGAGCTTTATGACATTGTACATAGATCAAAAGAAAACCATGGCCCTGACAATTCAAGGCCAGAAAGGGGTATCCTAGGGTCGTCACCATAGCAAGAGAAAATGGGGGGAAGAAAGAAAGAAGAGCCGAGCCCGAGTGCTTGTTCTAGTTCATCTCAGAAACGAGCCATTCGAGCACGCTTTCGTAGCAGAGAGCATATTGACTCAAGTTCTGTACCATGCTCGGTCTTTGTCTCCGGAAATCTTCAACCGCCTTTGCAATTAGGTCAAGATCGAAATCGCGCATCCACTCGGCAGATCTGCCAGGGTTTTGATCCAGGTCTCCACCACCGGCAGCCTGCGCACGCTGCCGTTTCAACATGTCCAAGACACTGTCAACAGTACAGAAGGTCCCCGTACGCCCACAGCCCGCACTGCAATGCACCAGTATTGGCCGTTGACCCTTCGGTTCTGCTTCCTGGCTACTAAAGCTGGAGTTGCTGGTGGCACGAATGACCTTGTTACATTGCTCAATCAGACGGAGAAGATGGGTAGGCTGTGACGTTGTCCCGAAATCAGGCCAGTAAGGATATTGGAGCTGGGTGATGTCCCGAAGCGGCTGGAAGGGGAATGACGTATGGCAGATACTAAAGTTTCGCACGGTGATAACTGGATTTTCGTTTGTGCCATCAGGTCGTTCAGTCGATGTGTTAGGACTGCCGACCGCGGAATCGATATAGATGTGCTTTTCTGAATAAGCCTTTACTTCGAATGGTCCATATTTTCCGGATTCCCAATATCGGTGGCATTTCACCTGTCCTCGCTCAACCTCTGCAGTGAGAGAAACGAGGAGTCTAACGTCTTGCTCCCATACCACACGCCAAAAGTCCTGCACATTGTGAGTAACATGATAGTAAATATTGCGAGGGGTTGCCACCTACATCAAATGTATCAGGAACGGGAGCCTGAGTAGCGATGTATTTCCGATTGGTAAGTTCAGCAGAAATATGATTTGCATTCACATAATCACAGGCCCCAGATGGGATTCCCTCAAGCCGGACACGGGAATGATCGAATGGGTAAATATCATTGTAACGATTCTTCGTGCCTTTTTCTATCCCTGCAACGCGATATCTCTTGGGACTGGCATTGGTGTCAGCCGAAGGTCCTTCATATGTTAAAGCTTGTTTCATGCGTTCCAATTCTGTTTTCTCCAAAGCCAGGAACTTGTCTGAGACAATGTGCCCTTGATCCTTGGTATCAGAAGCGCCCCGCAACCAGGAAGGGAGTTGCTGTCGCTTAGCTTCAGTCAATTGATCGGGCTGTTTCAGAGGGATTCGTCCGACACCTCCGAGGAGATCCATATTTTGTCGAATATTTCCAAAGAATGGATTGGCTGCAGAGGATGATTCTGGTAGGGTGCAACCACCCACGACAGGAGCAACTGATTGCAGATTGATACTCATGGGGGAACGATGCTTAGAGGATGGCCCGATGGTCTGCGTTTGTGACTGTTGAATCAAATCTGGAAATCGACCCGAGAAACCTCGGAATCCGTTTTGTAAGATCAGCCCATCTCCCTTCCAGTCTTCAGTCTGGAATTTATTGAGAAGGCTCAAAAGAGGTGCTGCATCCTTCGAATCCGCTGCAGCAGAGTCGTAGACAATGATCGCGTCACACCTTTTCCAACGAGCGAAATTCTGTTTGTCGGCGTTGTCTGTGAAAGTGCCCTCTAATTTCTGGGTATCAAATGATCGACGCTTGAGTAAAGTAGTGGGGATGCATAAATTGAGCGATCCTTTGATATTGGCCTGTTTGAAATGAGCAAATGGGCGAACATCAAATAGCATGATGTTTGACTGAGATGATTCAAGAAGTTCGGCACAACGTTCGGCTGATACCCAGGGAAAGGAAGCGGAAACGGCTCCTGGAGAAATAATATTAGTATCTTGTATAATTCATGGAAAATAAACAGTGGAGCATATCAGGAGCCATGGGATCAAAGATAGAAAAGAAAAGAAAAGAAAAGAAAAACAAATCTAAGAGTGGACATACCTTGTGAACTGGGCGTTAAGTTTTTGCCAACTGGAAGCCTCGGTCCACTGGGTTGCGCAAATGAATAATTCCCCAGCGGACGTGAAGGTGAAGGCTTTGACCATGAAGTCGTCTGGGGAGGGGAAGATCCATGCAATGCTGATTCTCGGCGTATACGGCTGGTTTCAGGCTCGGTCTTCAATAGATTCTTCAATCCTGCTGATACCGATTCCTGGGAAAAGATTGGTAATTTTGGACTTGGCAGAGGTTGTGTATGGGCTAATGTGCCCCAGTTCTTTTGCATGGACAGCTCTGGGTTGGAATTCTGTTGATTGTTGGGGTTTTGCACAGCCATGCCAAAATAATTGGGACTTGACCTTTCCGTAAAAGCCGCGTTCGACATCATGCTTGTGGTTGACGGTGACACGGTAGATTGAAAGGATTGCGTGACACCACCATCGTGATGACCATTTTGAGCACTTTGTACCCACGGTGAGGAGGGTGAGCGTCCTGGGCCTGTCATGGCAGGCAGTTTTGACTTCTACAACTCCAGTTCCTGGTCTGTCGAAACACGGTCTGTCGAAACACGGTCAGCCGAGAAATTCCTGGAAATGGCACCCGCAGTTGTGTAGCAGATAACACGAAACGGCTTCTCAAGGATCGAACTGACAAGTGCAAAGCTCTCAGGTCAAGATATCAGGGTCTTCGAGATCCTGGTGTGGCAGAATCGCTAGTCGTAAATGGCATCCAATACACAAAAGTGAAACTGTTGCCTCTCAAATAAGTGTGTTGAAGCAAAATCTCCAAGCTTCAGATGGAATGAGCTCGAGATATAACTGACGTAGCGAGAGACAAAGAGGGGCAATGAGAAGCGAATAGACCAGGGTCCAGCCAAATGGAAAAACTGGCCAATGGAATGAAAAAATGTCAAATGGTGGGGGATGAACCTGATATCAGAGAGGGCATCCGTGTCATTGCATGATTAATAATCGCCTGAAACTACCTACCTAGGTAGCCCTGAGTTGAGAGAAAATGGGTGAAGAAGAAATTTGGGGGCTTCGAGAAGAAAGTTATGACGTTGTTGTGTGGGGGATCACGGGTTCACTTCGGTTCTGACGTAGTTAAATTGATGGATTTGATTTTTTGAACATCTATATATATATTGTTCTCTTAAGATATTGAACATATGGATATATGTATATATATATATATATATCTATAATATTGTAGAAATTTACATAGAAGTACTTGTTAAAACACAACAGAGAAACCACCTGGAAGCCCTGTAGTATCCAGGGCGAGGCCCACAGGTCCACAGGTCCACGAGCTCCAGGGCGAGGTCCTCTATATATAGCTGAGTAAGCATTGGAATCGGCCCCGACCTCCCCATCAATACATTACTTTGGATATATAGATCAATCTACACTGGTGCACTCGGAATTGAATTATATTGAACTTGTCTCTTTTGAACCCTGATCAATATCAGCAGTGATCTCATCCTAGTTTCAGATTAGTGGCAAGTCCCCAAGGAACTAACCGTGGAGTGGTTCCACTCATGCAGGTTTTACCTCAAATATGACAAGCGAAAAGATAAGGCGACAGACTCGAGAAGGATAGAAAGATATCTTTTCCTTATTTCACAGTCAATGGCCCAGCATATAGAATATGGGAAGTGGAAGTAGACAATATATGATGTATACAAGGTTTGAGAGGCTGAGAAAGTGAGCGAGACCAATCTCAATGGTGACCTACATTATGTAGGTAGGGATATTGGCGTATAGCATACTTTGCATGCAGAGGCCTGCCGGATTTGAGTGGTTGTCCGCTCATGGTCTCCCCCTTCATCTCCACGCAGCAATGTAGAGCAATATACCCCTAGCAATGAGCTCATACGCTAGGTGAGGTTACGAGAAAAAGAGAAAAACGTGTTTTCGTCGCGTTCCAAGGATACCAAAGAATTCGGATGTTTGAATTCGAATTGTTACAGCCTTCCATCCGGTTCACCTTTGAATCGTTCTACTCGCTTCTGCTCCCATTGATCGAGATCTTTAGCCATGAGTCTCTGTGGGCATACACAATCATCAGCATTCGGTTCAAACGTTAAGTACGAAAATCAGGATTAAGTTGTACAATACATACGTAGTATTCTTCCTTTTCGTCGCCTATAATCCTCCTCCTCGGATTGCGTTTGATTCCCTCTTCCCCGTCGGGACCCTTGAGTCCGAGGTCAAATGCTTCCTCTTGACTGAGCTGCTTGACTTTGCGATCATATCGCTCATACCGTAAGGCAGCAGCAGGTGTCAAGACAAATGACCCAGCTACAATAACGGCCATAAATGGGAGTCCGAAGAGAATGAAAGGGTGTCGAGCTAGTCGCGCCCGGTAGAACGCACCAAGTCGTTCACCCAGGGACGATGATTCCGTAGCTGCCCGACGAAAGGTTTTGGATTGGAACACAGGCATATTTGCGAGTCAATCTATTGAACGCTATTATTGAATGAAAGACGAAGATTTCTGTTCATTGAGTTCAATAGGTTGGGTCATTGGTGAACAAAGAAATAAATGAACAATGGGATCTCGGTGAAAGGGTCAATAGATGATCCGGAATACCGGGATGAATTGTTTAGACCTTCTTGAACAGCCTCTTCAATTGCCTATTGACATCTATTGGCTCTTAATCACTGAGCTATTTTTTTTTTG